GCCGCCAGCTCCCGCGCCGACAGCCGCCCCAGCCCTGCCGCCCAGGTGTCGCGGTTAGAGACGGGCACGCGCCCACGGGGAGATGCACCGTGCCCTTAGAGACGTGCCCGGCGCAATTATTAAGACGCATGGGGCGATTAATGGGTTGCCCGGTGCAGCTGGTGAAACGCCCGGTGCAGTAAGTGCAATGCACAGTGCAATAAGTGCAATGCCTGGTGCAATAAATGTAATGCCCGGTGCAATAAGTGCAATGCCTGGTGCAATAAGTGCAATTCACAGTGCAATAACTGCAATGCTCAGTGCAGTAAGTGCAATGCTCGGTGCAATAAGTGCAATGCCTGGTGCAATAAAGGAAATGCTTGGTGCAGTAAATGCAATTCACAGTGCAATAAGTGCAATGCTCGGTGCAATAAGTGCAATGCCTGGTGCAATAAGTGAAATGCTCAGTGCAATAAGTGCAATGCACAGTGCAATAAGTGCAATGCACAATGCAATAAGTGAAATGCTCAGTGCAGTAAATGCAATGCTTGGTGCAATAAATGAAATGCCCGGTGCAATAAATTTGCAAATGCAAATGCAAATGCAAAAGATTTCACTAATGTGAAATGCCCGGTGCAATAAATGAAATGCCCAGGGCAGTAAGTTAAATGCTTGGTGCAATAAGTGCAATGCACGGTGCAAGAACTGAAATGCGCAGTGCAATTAGTGAAACGCACAGTGCAACTAGTCATCTACCTGGAGCAATTACTGCAATGCCCATTGCAACCAGTTACTTGCCCAGTGCATTCACTGACGTGCATGGTGCAGTTAGGGAAAGGCACCCTACGGTTTGCAGAATGCTTCGTGCAGTTGGTAAGACTGCAGACAGCAATTATGAAGATGCACAGGGCGATGAGTGGGCTGCCCGGTGCAACCGGTGAGGCAACCTATGCAGCAAGTGCAATGCACACGGCAACTGGGGAAATACCTGGTGCAATTAGTGGGATGCCCGGTGTAATTAGTGAAATGCATAGTGCAATTAGTAAAAGGCCTGATGTAATTAGTGAGATGCTTGGAACAATCAGTGAAATGGATCGTGCATGAGTGAAACACCTGATGCAATTAGTGACATGCCCGGTGCAACGAGTAACATGCCTGGTGCAATTAGTGATATGCACAATGCAATTACTGCAGGGGAATCAGTGATACGCCGGTGCAATCAGTGACGTGCATGGTGCAAGTGAACACACGCTGCATTTAGTGGAATTCCCAGGGCAATTCACGACGTGCACAGTGCAATTAGTGAAACGCACGCTGAAACTGTTAAAATGCACCACATCAGCTGCACAGTGCATTTATTGGACCACCAATAAATAAAGACATCGTGCAATTACCGAAATGCCCGGTGTCATAAATGCCGTGCTCAGAGCAACTACGGAATTAGTGACAATTGGTGCAATTAGTGACACGCATGATGCAATCAGTGAAATGCCCTGTGCAATCAGGGGAATGCGCAATTAGCAAAATGCCTGGGCAATTAGTGACGTGCACCACGCCATTCGTGAAAAGTGTAGCGTACGGTGCATTTAGCGGCACGCGCAGTGCATGTAGAGAAATGCATCGCGTGCTGCACGGTGCAATCAGTTAAATGCATGGTGCACTTAGCAGCATGCACGGTGCTCCTGGGTAAATGCATAACACAATTAGCGAAGAGCACCACCATATTTTCCACGTATTTAGGAAAATGCATGGTGCAATCAGGAAAACGCCCGGTGCAGAGTGCATTTAGTGGCACTCGGTGCATTCAGGGGAGTGAAACACTCTGCAAAACGCACAGTGCAGTTAGGAACACGCACCACGCACGGCTCAGTGAAGCGCCTGGCACAGTCACAGGCACGGTGCTGTCAAGAAAGTGCGTTTCCTGAAATGCAGGATGCAAACAGCAAAACGCAGAGCACACCAGGCATTTTTGCAAAACGCACGGCCAGTGGAGCAAAAAGCTCAGCGCACAACACCGCCGATGCAAGGCGCGGTACGTTTAACGAACGGCACGGTGCGTTTTGCAGAACGCCGGGTGCTTCAGGGAAAGGCGCAACGCATTTAGCAAAAGGCATTGAATGCAATGCACGAGGCGTTTTGCAAAATGCATGGTGGCCTTGGCGAATCCCTGGGTGCCGTTAAAGCTCAATATTAAATGCAAGATCCACGCGGGCTTAATTTTGTTGCCAAGAGCCCCCTCCTGGCCAAAGAGCGTGTGAACACCGGGGGAAGCCAGCCCTGAAGCCTCGAGAGACTCAATTGTCCAATTTGGTTGGAATTGTCCCCAAAAAGTGACTGGCCTGGATTTTGCTGGCCGTACCTTCATGGGAGCAGTTGTTGTTGAAGGCAGGGGAGAAAGCACGCAGCTCACGCAGAAGGATGGGCTCCGTGGCCCCGCCGCCGCCTTCAGCATCGGCCTCGGTTTCCTCCTCCTCCTCCTCCTCTTCCTCCTCCTCGCCCTCAGGGTCGGCTTCGGGGTCAGGCGAACTCTGCATCAGCTCCTCCAGCTCCTCAATGACCTGCAGGGCATCAGCGTCCTCCATCTGCACCTTGCACCTACACCCTGCAGCCCCCAGCTCCACCCTGCATCTGCACCTGCGCGCTGCATCCGTGTCCTGCACCCACATCTGCAACCCGCTCCCTTCACCCTGCACCTGCATCCTCCATCTGCATCCTTCATCCTCCATCTGCATCCTCCTCCCTTCCTCCTGCATCCGCACCTGCATTTGCATCCATCTGCACCCTGCATCCTCCATTTGCATCCTGCAGCTGCATCCCACATTCCCATCCGCATCCAAATCCCACACCCCACGCTCACACCCCTGCCATGGGTGCTCACGCCCCGGGCCCACATCTACCTCCAAATCTGCATCCCACACCCACGTCTGCGTCCTGCTCCCTTCGCCCTGCACCCTCCACCTGCATCTTGGATCCTGTATGTGCACCTGCACCCTCCATCCAGGATCCGCGCCCTGCATCTGCATCCGCAACCCCACACCTGCACCCTGCATCTGCATCCCGCCTCTGCCCCCCATGTTTTCATCCTTCATCCCCTGCCACCCATTTGTGTCCAGCGCCTGCACCCCACGTTCCCATCTGCACCCAGATCCCACATCGGCGCCCACAGCCTGCACCTTCGTCTACATCCAAATCCGCATCCCGCGCCCTGCATCCCGCATCCCAAGATGATGGGATTGGGCTTTCTTTTGTGCTTTCAGCACATGGCTGCGGGGCTGGGGTGGGCTGAGGCCATGCTGGGGGGCTTAAGCCTGGTTTTTGGGGGACGCGCAGGCATTCAGGCGCCCACGGGGGCCCGGGTACCTGCTCAGCTGTCAGCAGCGGCTCCTCGTTGATGCCCGAGTCTTGCTCACTCCTCTCGGTGAGCTCCTCTTCCTCCTCCTCCTTCTCGCAGAGCTGCAGGAGACACAGGGTGGGTGGCCTTGGTGGCACCGCAGGCCCGGCCCGGCCCGGGGATGGCCTGGGGATGGCCCCAGCCGTGGTCCTGGCCCAGGGAAAGCCACCAGGGAACCACAGCTCAGGGGACACGCCGCACAGCGAGGTTTGCATGGGGAGACATCGGATGGAGGCATCAGATGGGGATGTTGGACAGGGAGATGTTGGATGAGGGCATTGGATGGAGATGTTGGATGGGGATGTTGGGTGGAGACGTGGGATGGGAACTTGGATGGGAGGATGTCGGACAGGGACAGTGGATAGAGACGGAGATGTTGGACGGAGATGTTGGGTGGAGACGTGGGATGGGAACTTGGATGGGAGGATGTCGGACAGGGACAGTGGATAGAGATGGATGGAGATGTTGGATGGGGAAATGTTGGATAGGGACGTTGGCTGGGCCTTTGGACAGGGACCTTGGCTGGGGATGCTGGATGGGGACACTGGAGAGGGAGACGATGAACACCCCCTGGATGGGGAGGTGTTGCAAGGAGATGGATAGAGACGTTGGATGGAGAGACACTAGGTGGAGAGTTGCTGGATGGAGACATTGGACTGGGAAGCTGGACAGGGAGAAGCACAGGTACGTTGGATGGAGATGTTGGATGAAGAGATGTTTTAATTACTATATTGGATGGTGACATTGGATGGGGAGGTGTTGGAGATGCTGGGGATGTTGGACGGGGAGACGATGGATGGTGAAGCTGACTGGGGAAGAGGCCAGATGGAGACATTGGATGGGGACATTGGATGGGGAGATGTCACAGGGGAACGCTGGATGGGGAGCTGATGGATGGAGATGTTGGACGGGGAGGCACCTTCTTTTTTACCACCTTTCACAGGTTATTTCATCTTTTTAGCAGAAAATAACCCAAGAAATTTACCTTCTCCTCCCCCTTTAGCACCAGGTTGCGTAACGTCCAAACGGGTTAAATTCAGTGGATTTGGGGGCATCTTTGCCGCCCTCCCACAACCCCAAATGCAGCTATTCACAGCTCTACAACGAAGAAAACACTATTTTCTACCCCAAAACCACACCACCTCACCCCTGGTTTGGGGGCAAATTGGCAAAGACCAGATTGCCAAACCACACGCTTAATTTTGCCCGTTTTAGCGTGTTTTCCGCCTAAAATTCAGACAGCCACTGTGTCAGTGCTGCGGCACCCCAAAAATACTGGTTTTGGGTAGTTTGCAGTGCCCTGATGGTCGCTGAGCCTTGGGGTTGATTGACAGCCGTCAACATCACCAAGGGGTCATG